CTAAATAGTTTTTTCCATTTTGGATACGGAGCGTAGAAAGGGATCTATTTGTTTTACTATGATTAGTGTTTTTATTTTATTTTTTTAGTATCCGAGATTTATTAAATTATGCAGATATCGACCTTGCACTAATTATATTATTGTCAACAAATTCATATAACGAATCTATAGATTTACTCGATTGGTTTGAAAATTTAATATAGGTCGAATAAACAGTCATGCAAGTTTAAGAACTGTACAATTTTTTCCGGAAATTTGATATTAATATGAACTTGTACTCATAAAGACTGTAAGAATAGCCAGGATGGATCGAATTAAGTGAATATAATTTTTAATGAAAAAAAAACCTAAAATTTTGGATTTCAATAAATTCTTCACGAAAACTCCACCCGGAGGTCTTTTTCGTGACATGAAATGTTGAAAAATTTCTGATCCACGGACATAAGTTTTTTTTAAATAACCGATAGGTACGATACAAATGACATTGTAAACAATTTTTTAGGGGAATATCTTATAATGCGTTAAAATAATAGTTACTGTATTGTCTATAACATATTGGAATAAAATTTTGATATTTTTAAACTTAAAATATCACCAAAATATATACATCTTTTTTTTTTTTATATATTTCTGTATAAGATGGTAATTAAAATTTTTATATTATTATACTGTTTAATCTATGTCGTCAATTAAGTATTAATCTACGAGTTAGGTGTTATATTTTACTAAAATAATTTTATTTTGACGTTACATCGGAACAAGATTTCTGGTAAAAAAGTTTGCACAAAAAATCAAGGGGTATTTGCTATTAAAATGGTTTGAGTTTCTAGGTAAACCCAAAATGCATTTGTTTAGGTTAAGGAGGAATAAAATGCAAACAATTTTGTACAAAACACAGGTTTGAACTCGGGATCCCTCCTACAAAAATAATAAGCATGTATTACTATTTGATCACGACAAATATCAATTAAGACAATATAGAATTTTTATCGTAACATAATATTCGCATAATATTAAAATATTAAAAATCTATTATTTTGAATTTGAGAGAGTCCGCTCAATTCTGAGTTCACCATTGTAATTAAGTCAATGACATCCATACATTGAAAAAAAAAAAAAAAAACTAAAAATCAGTTCTGGTCCACATATCTTTTTACTCAGACGATTTTCGTTAAAATTTGATATTAAACTTCTCTTAAAAAAAAAATTCTACATTAAACTCATTTTTTTTCTACAGTGTAAGACTCTTAATAAACCTGTTAAATTTTCAAGCATTTCTGCTAAATCTAATGATTTTACTACAGTGTACATAATAAAATCATCTACTTAATTCCGCTCAGATCTCTCAGATTAGGATCTCATTATATATTTATTTAATGATACGTTAGATTGGTATACATTAATAATCCTGGTATAGAATGATAATTTTATTTTTCATAAGTAATAGAAAATGGGATAACTCTTAAGGTTTTATTAATATTAGAATTTATTTTACAGATATATTGTATATATTAATGCACAGTGATTTAGGATCTAGATATTTTAATTAAATTAGATTATTTCGATAAAATTGACACAAATATATTCACAAAATACATAACTTCGCAAGAGTTTTTTTCGTTGATATACGAAAAATACTCAAATGCGTTGAAGAACGTTTATCTTTTAAGAAGTTTACTACCATAGCATATTATATTGAAATTTATATCGTCGAAAAGATTTGTTTAATTTCTTGTATAAAAGTACCTATTCCGAAAATATTATCTCGTTTAACTAGAATTCGACTAAATTTTATATCATAAAATTACTCAGGCCGATACAATACCTACATGCTATTCGGCTATACGTTTCAGATTAAAATTACCCAGTCTTTATGATATGGTTGAACGTGAAATTAATATTTTAGAACTGTTGGGACTGTTGAGTTGCATATAGTGCATAGTGTGTATTGCTCAAACCATATTGAGAAATCTTTCAGCTGGATGAACTTTAATTGAAATGAGTTTTTATTTATTTATTTTCCAGTCTGCGCTTAAGTTTAATAAATACTTAAATTATCATAAATATAATCCACTATTTTCAAAAACAGAGTCGGATATTATTTCAAATGACTTTGAGAAATATCTAAAATATTTTGCTAATCTCCAAAGCTGTCTGAGATACAGCCATCAAAAAGGTAACACATATTTTTCAAATTTGAAAAATTAAATTAAAACGTACAGTTTCAAAGTGAAGACATTTTATTAATATTTTATGCGAGAACAATTACATGGAAATACAATCTTATCAAACCGCATATATAATAATGATTTATACATTTACATATTTTAAAATAGAAAACATTACACTACTCTTATCCTCTTAAATAATATACTATTTTAAACCTAGGTGATTGAGAGCAGATTGGATATTATTATTTAATAAAACAGGTTATTATCACATTAATTAAGGTTACCGTAAAGAAAATTTATGAAGAATATGATTTAAACGAGCCTCGTGCTAGTTATAGCCAACAAAACAATTAGTTTATTATAGAGACTTCAGGCCATTAAATGGCAATAGACTTTTTAAAACGTAAACCTATAAATTAATGACAATACAAAAATGTATATAAATATAAAAATAAATAGACACTCTCTTAGTTATCATCACTATTGTAGACATTTATGCGGAAAAAACGAGATTTCGGCAGTAGACTATTTGATTTAGCAGCCCAGTTGTCTTCAAACTAATATATCATACTATGTACATTAAATTGAACTAATTATCTCAGAACTATTATACGGACTTTTGTGAATTTTTTAAATAAAAAAATTTCTTAGTTTTAGTATTGTTAATAACATGGCCACCGAGAATCTCATTTAGGGGAATACGTTAAATCATGACACGGTAGTTCGTCAATGTTTGAATCATAATGTGAATTAGATGGGTTTATTACTTTAATCGATTTACGTACGATATCAACAAATTTGCTTACAAAATCAATAGCTATCAAACAATTTTCTTTCAAAGTGCGGTAAAAACTTTCATTCTTATCTGAAGAAAATACTTTACTTTTGATTGCATTAAATAGTTCTACGTATGCAGGACTTGGTATGTTGTTACGAATTTCTAAATAATCACTATTCTTTTTAAATTTATTAATAGCTGTTATTATTTTTAATACACTGTCCTTAGTTTCACATTTAAGAGTTAGACTTAAAAAGAATTTATATCGGCTTTTTTCATACCACATAAGAGAGTTCCTCAAGCTTGATATTTTTATTTCGTTTTTCTTGTCATATACGCGATTCTCAAAGTAAACAACAATCGTTATTGCATGTCGGTAAACGTACATATTCATTATTTCGTCCAGATAATTACATAAAATTATATTTTGAAAAAATAAAAATTTAGTTATATTTGCATTCAAAGGTAAAAAATAATAGTAAATCTCCGAAAATGTAAATTGTACATTCTCTATGTCCATCTTATTGAATTTTATCCCGTTAATGTCGATATTATCTTCGTATACTTCGGTGAGTAAATATTTTAAACTTAACCAATCATAAGTGGTCCATATTATGACTTCGTTTCCTTTTTTAGTGTAGAACTCAGTAATGGTTGTAGAAATATCCTTAATATATTTGTAATTTAATTCGGAACATTGAGTATTAATTTCTGAATTTGTCGTAAACTCATCTATTTCTAAAATTGTTTCATTTCGAACATAAAAATTCCAAAGTAATTTAACTCTTATCGCTTCCATAATACATTTTTCTTGATATAATAATATGCTATCAAATTCACCTCCGTATTTTGCGGGACACCGGAGATCGATAAAATCCATGTTATTTCCGCAAAGTGATAAAAACAGATTAAACAAAGTTAAGTCAATCGGGTCATTGGTTTGATGTTCATGTATATACAGAAGTACTTCCGGTACATCACCGCATAATTTTTTAAAGGGACTTAACACATTTTGATCCATTTGGTCCTTGTTTAATTGGTACATGGTTTTATTAGAGCTTTGAAGCATAAATATAAAATACTCTTCAAGCCTTTGGAGGGAATAGATTATTAAATTTTTTACCTCGTCAGATGTTGATCTAAACTTAGTTAACAACAGTGGTGCACATTTATTTGTTTCAATGCTTTTAGAATACTTGTGACTATGTTTTTTTAATGATTTTTCTAAATTTATTTTATCGCATAGTGTTTGATGATTAAGTCGTTCTACTTTCTGTGTTGGCGTTTGTTTAAAAATATTGTAACGGGCACTATCGTTAAAAAATGTTTCCGTCCAATCAATATCACTCATGAGTTCGAATTCTAATTTTACAAATTTTGTAGCATTACTTTGGTATCCTGTGTTTTCTTGGTACTTAAGGGATTCTTCATCTGTAATTTTTTCAAAATACATAATTTCTCCTAACACAATATGTAACTTTTGAATATTGCAACTGATAGTTATTTCGTCATCGGAGACTTTCGATTGTTTACAATGTTCTTTGAAAAATTGTTGTATTGTTCTACATAGCAAGCTATGCGATTTGTACATATTGAACAGTTTTTTATTTCTGTATAATGCGCTAACGTACAAATAATCAATACATCGTACAATATGTAAACATATATTTACCACATAGTCATTTCGTATTCGTAAATCATATACCTTGCTTGGATTGGTTTCTAATCGTTTACATAAATCATTTAGTTTTTTCTCAGTAGGAAATACCGATAAATAATATTTACTGAATTGTTTAAGTATAAGACATATACTGTCATCGAAGGCTGTTATCGTAGAGTAGTAGCGAACTTCATAAGAATGTTTACTTTTGAAATATATGTCGTAAAATTGTTGTACACATTTTTCGTGATCAATTTGTTTAGATATTTTTAATGCCATTTCTGGTTTTTTATTTAATACTAGAAGTATCTGTACTGATAATATAAGTGTACGAAATATCATCATAAATTTTTCTACAACCAAAAACCAAATTGAGACTAAATATTATACTGAGAAGAATTTGTGCACAATAGTTAACTACAATCATCGAGTAGGCGTTGCAATTAATTATCGGGGCTCACATATGGTAGTTCTTGTTTAAATAATGTACAATTTATTTTAAAAAAATATTCTACGTAGTATAATGTGTGACCTATTTACATAATTTTTTAAAATTAATGTAATCAAAAATGTATCAGATCGATTTAAATTCCAAAATTTTATAAAAACATAATATTCCGAATATTTTGTTTTCGATTTCTGATTCATGTGGATATGATTTTTAAGACTTCCAAAAAATATTATACAATTTTAAATGAAGGTTACGGGATATGGAAATATATGTTGAAGATGGCCAGGGAAATAATTTTAAATTAAAAGGTATCAAAAAAATTATTTACTTAATTTCGCTCAATTTTCTCAGTTGAGGGTATTCTTTATACATCGCTTTAATAATACGTTAGATAGGTATATATTTATAATCTTGGTATAGTATAATAACGTTTTTTCCCATTAGTAATAGAAAATGGGACAATTCTTAAGGTTTTATAAATATTAGAATTTATTATACAGATATATTTTATAAATTAATGCTGTGTGATTTAAGATCTGGATATTTGAATTAATTTAGATTATTTATATAAAATTGACACATATTTTTTCACAAAATACATAACTTCTTACAAGTTTTTTTTGTAGGTATACGAAAATCACTTAAAACGCGTTAAAGAACGTTTATCTTTAAAGAAGTTCATTACCATAGCATATTATATTGAAATTTATATCGCCAAAAATTCTGTATAATTTGTTGTATATAAGTAATTATTCCAATAATATAATCTAGTTTAACTAGAACTCGACCTTATTCTATATTATCAAAATACTCATACTGATGTAATACCTACATGCTATTCGGGTAAACGTATTAGATTAAAATTACCCAGTCTTTAAGATATGGTTGAACGTGAAATTATATTTTAGGACGGTTGGGACTGTTAGTTGCATATATAGTGAATAGTGTGTGTTGCTCAAACCATATTGAGAAATCTTTCAGCTGGATGAACTTTAATTGATATAAGTTTTTATTTATTTATTTTCCAGTCTGCGCTTAAGTTTAATAAATACTTAAATTATCATAAATAGAATCCACCATTTTTAACA